TACCTTTATCTTGCCTAACTTCGAAGGTCAATTCAGGTTGGCGGGTCAGATTTGGGTTTGACCCGAAATTGATTCAATAAGAACTTAACCCATTTATCATAAGGGCCAAAATATTTACCCGAACACATGCAACTTAACCTAAACGCAACATATTTGACCCACATATTATATGAATCATATAATTTTTTAACACAAATATAAGTCATTTAACTCGAACATTAACCTTCGAACATGATACGTGTTAATCTCGACAACCCGACCAATTCGCCAAAGCTGCATTAAAGATGATATGATCAACTTGATAACAAAAAACTGAAGCTGCAGAAAAAAAAAAAAAAAAAAGAGCTGCCCACAAATATTAAGCTCTCTTTGTATTAGATTTCATGTCCCATTTAGAATTTCCTCATAATTACTTAGCATTTCAAATTACATTTATTTCTTTATTTATTCAACTTCTACAGCTTCTGATCAATTGAATAAATGACATTTCTAATCTATCCTTTCAAGGTTATATTTAACTATTCCTTCCAAAGAAGATTTGTAACGGCTATGTGGAAGGCAATTAAGGTTTTGAATAGCTAATTCAGCTTTCTCCTTTGCAAGAGCCTGTGCTCTGTCTACCCCCCCAGATTTCAGTACTAAATCAATTGCAGTGTCCAAAGAACCTACCTCACTGAATTCAGAATCAATAATCTCTCTTAGTTTGGGTTCCTTTTCTAAAGCAAAAATAACTGGAGCAGTAAGGTTCCCCTTGGCAAGGTCGCTCGCGGCGGGCTTGCCGAGCTGCTCTGACGATTGTGTGAAGTCCAGAATGTCATCCACAACCTGGAAGGATAAGCCCAGGTTCTTCCCATATTCATACATTTGTTCACAAATACTGCAATCAACTTCACTGAAAATGGCTGCAGATTTTGTGCTTGCTGCAACCAGAGAGGCAGTTTTATAGTAGCTTTTGAGCATATAGTCTTCAAGAGAAAGATCACAGTCGAAAAGACTTGAGGCTTGCTTTATTTCACCACTGGCAAAATCCTTGATGACCTGAGAAGAATGGTTGTTATTTCAGAATAAACTTGTGGTTATGAAAAATGAAAACAAAAATTATAACTTGGGAAACCTACTTGACTGATGAGCTTGATGACTTCAAGGTTCTCAAGGTTGGCAAGGTACCAAGAAGAATGAGCAAACATGAAGTCTCCTGCTAGGACGGCCACACGAGTTCCATAAATTTGGTGAATTGTTTTCTTTCCTGCGGATAATGGATAATTACTCAACTCTGTCACTAGTTCAAGGATAGTACAAGAAGTTTTTCTGATGAAGCAGACTTTTTTGTCTGGCAGTAAAGATTTTTGTGGATAGCATTCTTTTATGAGATGATTACGAAGGATAGGTATCCAATAAGTGTCATGGGGTTTTAATTGAAAGTTCTCTCAAGTTATCAGGAGTAATTAACTATAGGGGCTTGCGCCTATGAAAAAACATGAACTCAGATCTAAGGTCCTCGCAAAATGAGGGTGAAATCTCTAGCAAGTGTCTTATTTCAAACCCAATCTTCCTTCTGAAAATTTACCCTGGAACCTACTCGTTAAAACTCTCCATGACGACCCGAAAAACCGAACCGAAAAAGAAGAAAAAGAGAGGGTGTCCACGGAGAGGCCGGGGCACAAAATTTTGGAGCCCATAATGCCATAGAATCTTTTCATCAACTATCAGTACAATTTCATTTACAAAAGGACTTTGATCGCATACTTCTCAAAAAGCGCATATAAAACATACAAATAAAAAGCCTGATAAATAGCAATTTGAACCTTAAGAATTAGTTGTTGATTCCCTATTTCATATTTCAACAACACTTTATAAGGAATGGGAGCTCAAGGATAGAGTTTCTAAATGCAACTAGAATGATGTGATATATGTAAATCATACAAAAAAAATATTATTTGCATATCACAAACTACTAAATAAGCAAAAAGCTTGCTTTCTTTAAATATAAACAACAAATATGAGAATTATAATCCAAGCAAAAAATGTAATTATCGAATAAATTTAAAGAAATTAGAAAGAGATTTAAACAATGTAAAATCAATGTACAATTGTAATTTAATCATGATAAATAGATTCATGGATGTCAAATTTGAACTAAATCAAAAGCACTAGCAAGCCATTAACAAAATATACAGAAGAATTTAGGTCAAGGAAAAATTCACAAAAATAAGAAATACAAATCTCATGATGGCACAAGGAAATGATTTTCTTAGCAACTAGATAGCCGTATTGTACTGCGCATGAATCAATCACACGTCCAACTTACACCTATAAGATTGAAAATGGAAGTAGAAACTTTTATCCAATTAAAGATTATTTACATACCTAAGAATATCTATTTATAGAATTCTCATCCCTAGGTTATTAGATACGGTTGGCATAAAATTAGAACAATCTGATTCCAAAAAATATCAACTTCAGATTTTAGACCTTATCCAAATAATAATAATTTAAAATAGCTACGCAATAGATTTTTTTTTTTTGGCAAACAAAAGTAGAATCCCCAATTTGAATATCTAGGGAAACACCTAAGAAATATCCGCAATAACATTATAATAATGAATATATAAGTTATTATAGTCCCAAAACAAGAGGGACAACCGCTAATCAATTTGCAATGAACCATTACTTCATTATTAGGTTTAAACTTTGCATATCTCTTATTCATATTAGCGAAAAGCTTGTTATTATCATACTTATTAGCCAATTTTTTATAAATATTCTCATGAAATCCATAAAAAACATATGAACCATGTGAATAATAGAGTGAAGTAATAAAATGCTAAAATATTAATATGCATCATAAGGAATACTAATAATGATCTATAACTAAATCTTAGAAAATGAATTGTTAACAAATTTCAAATCAACAAACTACACAATAATGATATGTCCATACGGATGGATAATCTTTTTAAAGAAAACTAAGCAAAATGGCCTAAAACATAGTTCTGGAGAATTATGCACATCAAGAATTTGACCAAATTGATAAAATTTTAAACTTTGATTTGTTTTAAGGCAGTCGACATTAATAAATTTTTTAAAATATTAATACTGCCTAACTCTCTCTCTCTCTATAAGGTTCTTTCTATGAATTTGTATGTCACTAAATCAAAAAAACCAAAGATAAAATCTCTGATCATTCCTCAAAGAATAATGTAAACAAAATATGCATCAAGAATTATATTTTCAAATTGCTCAATCGGCCCATCTAACTACAATGGATATGATTCATTCAACTTTAAATCTAGTCTAAAATTTAAGCTTAAATATTATGTAATGCTCAATTTCCCTTTAAAACTCAAATCGGCCCTTGTTTGAGTATAGATTCAGATTTAATAAAATATTTTAATATGCATGCACATTCGGATTCAAAATCATCAAATGTAAATTCAAAATGCAAATGCAAATCATTTTTTAAATACAAAATATCTTTAAAAGCATATTCACGAATGAGTGTATCTTTGAAAAAATCGTACTCAATTATGCATAATTCTTACAATGGAATTAGGTTTTAGATGAAATATTTTTAAATGCTCCTTGCGAATATGCAAGGGTGCAAAAATCCTAATAGAAGAATATTTTTATCATTCCTTAATATCTAAGGATATAAATGAAACCTCATGCAATATTTTTGATGAATTTTAGCTTAATTCATCCAAAATTTATTGTTTAAGACTTTTATGAAACAAATAATAATAACAAAATAATATAAGGGAAAATAATGTTTAACTACAATACTTGTAAACTTTGCAAAACACTAAAGCATGTACATTACATTACATGTAAATTAATCATGCAGTTGATCAATACATATGCCAAATGACAAGTATTGTTCTTTAAGATTAAGTTTGATATCAACCCATGACGACGTAACAACATTTTGCCAAAATGATTGAATAGGTCTTCCTAATTTGGATTTGGTACATTTAATTTTTCAAGAATCAGACATTGTATTAAGAAAAAAATCCTTCTAAATCATTCTAAAAATTTCTTAAGATTGTACCGTCCATCTAATCTAGGAATTCATTTCTAAATATCATGATAGTTATTATGTGTCATTCTAAAACCACAACATACACTATCATGTTTAAATTGTAGTATTATTAATTTAGTTACTGACCTAACTAATATATCATACATTACGTTGACATGATGATGCAACGGTACCATAAGCTAAAATATTACCAATTTAATGATGGATGGATCAAGGTTAAAGTTGTCTAAGGCAACCATAATGATTACATGCATGTTAATAATGAAAAAGAAATTAGGATTCCATATATCCTTTTTCTTTTCTTTATTAGGATTCCATATATCACAACCACAAAATGAGTCAAAAACTTGTTTTCTATAAATTTAAACAATAAATACTAAAATTAAAACTTGAGGGATAATTTAATGATTGAATAAATCCGAATGAATTAGCAAAAAAATTTAACCACATAAAATCAATTAGGAATTATAATTTAATCAACACAAATAGATTCTCACTTGTGTGAAACTTGAATGGAATTAGAAGCACTAGCAAAAATATTTTTAAGAAAAATTTTATAACCAAAAAATGATACAAGTGTATCAAAGAAAACTACCAAGAATTGTCAGAGAAAAAAGAAAAAAATACATAAGACTAGATAGCATGATAGTGATACAAGATCCTAAGGAATATGAAGACTACCAAAAAACTCATTTCAACCACATAGCTTAAAGCTTGATGAAAACATATGTTCGCTCAGGAAAAGATGGTGCTACGACACGAACCCTGCTTTCTCAAGCTTAAGGACTCATTTCCTCCGATGTAGATTGGATTTTAAATTTATTTAGTTTTGGGGTTCCATTTTTTTAATGAGCGCAAGCCCTTATTATAAATTACCCCTTCTAACGCATAGAAGAGAACTTTCAACTAAGGATGAATAGATATTTAGACGTGCAATAGTTTTAATTTTAGTTTTGGGGGGAAAGGAGGTAGACCCAATCAAGATCCCATGGTTCCGTCATCCTGGATATATCGTAGCTTTCAGTTTACCAACACTAGCGATCGTCGATCATAATAACCAGGGAATCTAATTAGCAATCATGGGTTTCCTCCTCTCAATGATCCTGAATAAACTGAAGTAGATAGGTGTGAATTTTAATTTGATCATGGTTTGGGGTTTATATCTATTAGAATACCCAGTATTTAATTTAGTTTGAGATTTATAACTTCATTTAGATGTTACCCAGTTGTTTGATTTAGATTTGAGGTCGAGGAATTAAATTTTTATTAAAAGTAGCTCATGTAATGGGTCTTACGGCTTCGTTTAGAAGTAGCCCAGATAACGAGTCTTACGGATTCATTTAGAAGTAGTCTATATAACAGGTCTTACGACTTCATTTAGAAGTAGCCCATTAGGCTTAAAATGTTGGGTCTTACTGTTTTTATTGAAAGTAGCCCATAGTTGGGATTTAAGGTTATGTTACTTTTACCTAGAGACTTAACCTAACGTGTGGGTCTTACTGCTTCTATTAGAAGTAGCCCATATAGCGGTCATATGACCTCTATTAGAGGTGACCCGGGTTATCAGGGATGTATTATTTGTTATAGAAAAATTTTTCCTAACACCCTAATTAAAGTGGGACTAATGACCTCTATAGAGGTGGCTTGAATGTATTATTTAGGGTTAGGTCACTTTTACCTAGGGTTTTCCCCTAACACATTAATTAAAGTCGGACTTACTCCTCTATTAGAAGTTGCTAGAGTTTTAGGTTAGCTTAGCGGGAGATTTAGCAGTATATACATAGTTTTACAAACTTCATTGTCTTGACACCCATACTAGTGTCATGTTTTGCCTACAATAGCAACTTTCCTTTCAATACTAGCTCTTCTGAATAGTTTTGCTTCAGTACTAGCCTTGCCTACAGTAGCAGTTTTGTTTCTTTTCCAGTACTAGCTTTCCTTCTTCCAGTACTAGTTTTATTCTTTCCACTACTAGTTTTATTCTTTTCAGTACTAGTTTTGTTAACTTGTTTGCAGGTATTCGTGGATAGCAGTTGCAAGAGCTGGAGCTTGCAGCTGTAGGGTTTGCCAGGAGCTAGAGGGATTTAAGTTTGCTAAGGGTTTTGGAGCTTTCTTTCAGTTTTAGTGTTCTCTTTAGTTTTAGGAGTTTGACGTTAGTTGGTGTGCGTTGTACTTAGGTTGTATAGTGCAAATATTCATTTTATGTGTTTTTATTGTTTGATTCAAAAATGTAAAAGTTCACCCGAGTGGCTCTCCCCTGTTAGTTCTTCTACTTGCATTTTTTAAGTTTTTTGTTAATTTAGTTGGTTTCAAATTTTAATTTTAAATTAAAAATAACTGCTTGGTTCGTTATTTAAAATATATTTTAAAATTATTTAATTAATTTAATTTAATTATTATTTAAATTTAAGATTTGGTTGCTCAATTAATTTAATTCATTTTAAATGTTTAAATTCAATTAATTGTTTCATTAATTAAATATTAGTTAATTAAATTAAAGTTTTAATTTTTTTCATTAAATTTTAAATTAATTAAATTTTTAATTTTAATTAAGTTTTTTAATTAATTAAAGTTTTTATTTGGTTTTAAATTAATAAATTAGTTAAACTTTAGTTTAAAATTGAATTTTAGTTTTATTTTTAAATTAATTAATCAGGTATTCAATTAGGTTAATTAATTATCAAATTAATTGAAATGTTCAATTTTAAATTAATTTGTTTAATTAAATTAAAGTTTTTTATTGTTTAAATTAGGTTTGTTTTGGAGCAGGCTTTCGTGAACAGGCGGGAGTCGCGAGCATCAGAGGAGATCGAGAGCAGCAGTCGAGCTTCGGCTTCTATGTGTGCACTCGAATGAGCAGCATCTTCGATTTTGAGGAGTCGAGAACGTGAGGGAGTTACGGGTGACGAGGAGTCGTGGGTTGACGGTTTGTTAGAGGTCAACAACATGTTAATGACAATAGATTTTTTTTTTATTCCTGATTGGTCTGGTTAATAGAACCTAAAACCTATTATCCACCAGAGAGTCAATATTTTAAGATCTCAAGTGTTCCATTTGAACCATAAGACTACTGAGCATTAAATTGCCAGCTAATTTGACAATTATTTACAGCATGAAGTGTCAAACTTATGCTGCTATTTCTTGTGGCCATAATGCAAGTGTCAATAATCAGGTTACAACCATAACAAGGACAACTTTTATAAACTAATAGAGGAAAGCTACCTCTTCGTATTCCACTATCATCTAGCACATCATCATGTATCAAACTTGCTGTATGAATCATTTCAATTATTTCTGCCAAACGCTGGTGTTGTGTCCTTAATTCCCTGCATTGCCAATGATGCAAGAATAAATCATCTAAATTGGGTTTCCCCCTATCATGGAGTAGCAAACTATAAGAATAACTTACTTCAACCCAGCAATTTCAGCAGTTGCTCTTGATGCTAAGAAAACTAAAGCTGGTCTTAGCCTCTTTCCTCCAGCACCAAATATCTGTTCTGCCGCAGATGCCAAAACAGGATTTTCTGCACCAATAATCTAATCGAGAAAAGATTGTCAGATAAATACTTGAGGCGACAAAACATATGGATAATCCTATATTTCGGCAATATTGTAACTGATAGTTTAGGACCAAACGGCCACCGCCTACCAAATTAAGAGGTGTACTAATGGCAGGTGGAGAGTTATCGATCAAAGAGACTAGGGCATGGGCACGTTTTCTTTTTCGATTAAAATCTTTGGATAGTACAAATTGTTGTGCACTTCGAGTCAAATCTAAAGAAAACTCCTTATTATGCAAGGATTGTGCAGACCATTGTTTTGAAAACCGGACCGGACCGGCCGGTTTGACCGGTTCAACCGTGAACCGGTCTTACAGCCGGTTCGGTCCTATCTAAGAACCGGGCTAACAACGAACCGGCCAAAACCGGCTTGAACTAATAATAGGAGGCTACAAGTATCCGGCAGTGCCATGTCACCAAGAGTTGCCAAGTCAGCGAGAATGGACCAACCAGATAATCCTACCCTTATCAAAATGTAGGATATAATGAACTCTCTCCTATTCCAATCTTTACCTCCAAAAAAAGAAGAAAAATAAAAAAAAAATCTTTATCTCCAAAAGCAAAAAAAGTATAAGACTTTTACATACATATACATACATCTCGCTTATCTACTTGTTAAACCTCTTCAAAGTTGTTAATTATTATATATCTCCTATGTCTTTAAATAGGAGGAATCCTGTAAGCTTCTATTATGCTTGTTCATAATAAAATTGCACTGCTAGCTCTCTCCTCTCTATCGCTCCATCCAACCACGTCTATTCCAGAAATTGTTTCTTTCTCCCTCGACTGGAGCAATTCTCTCACTAGTTTCGCTCATTACCTAAGACTCTTATCTCAAGGAAGGATGGTTCAATGTGGAGGCAATTGGCCAAAGGGGAACTATACAATTCCAAGCAAGACTGACCAAGAGAACTCTCTCATTAAAAACAGTTTTCACTGTCTAGTTTTTCTTTCCATCTAGCAGCTTACTCTAATAAAAAAATGTTAATCATCTAGTTTATTAATCTTCTTCTACTATCCTAAATTCTCTTTCATGCTTTATTCTTCTATTTTCATCATCTTATGGATCTAGTTTTGCTATTAAAAATCAGCCCAACAATTTATTAGGATTGGTCGAATTCCTTAAGGATTTCTATTCTTTCTTTATGATTAATTGCACCTAGAAGGTACTAACCTTAACTCCTAATCCTTTTCCATCCTTAAGAAAAGTATGCCATTAAGTTCACTGTTAAAATCAATATCAATGATCCTACCTCTTCTGAGGTTATTTGCTTCTCCTTGTTGGGGATACGAGTACGTGATATTGATTATCTTTATGTTATTTCTAATGGTAACATTTCTAGCAATAAGGATCTAGACAAGAAATTTCAACTAATATATGCTCTCCAAAATATACAAGGCTGTAAGTTAGCCATTTTAATATAACCCCTGGTCTTCTAGACTTGTTGATGTATTTTATTTTTAGTTTTTTTCATTTAGCAATGTTTTGTTATTGCTTTGTGTTGTGCTTTTTCATTAAATGATAAATTAGTTATTTTCCAAAATACTATTTTGTTAAAAAAATCCCCACAGACCCACTCTTGATTTTGAATCATCAATACTTCATAAATTAGTTATCATAGAAGGAAGTAATCATTCCAGCGTACAAGCTAAAGATGCTTCTCTTAGGTTTCCACTAAAATATTTTCCACAATAACATCCATTCAGTTCACTTATCAATATCAACAAGTTTTGGAATACCAAATGTGATTTTATGGAAGTCATTGAAGAAGTTTGATTAACAAATATTTCTTATGATTTTAATGTCTTCGAGATGTCAAATTGAGAAGCAGCATTTTGGCATTTATACTTAATAAAAATAAATATTATTAGAATTATTAACATAAGAAAATAGTAAAACATAAAAGTCCTCTATATTTGGAGAGAGTTGTGTGTTTAGTTGGGTATACACTAAACATAGTACACGTTTCCCCATTCTTAACGGGTAGATATCTAGTGTTTAACATACAAATGAAAGGATTTCTCCCTAGCACCCCCTCTCCCTCCTAGCATACTGTAATAGCCCTTCTTTTGACTTTGCCGATTTTTTCTGAAATCATTATGACTTCAAATCGCAAACCGTCTTCACCATAGTATTTTGATTGCAATATTTTACGTACACAATTTTTTTCGTAATTTTTGGGCACCAGTGAAAATCCTTAAGGAATTAGTACCTGTTGTTACAAGTGAGGATTTCGGGACCTTCAGGTATCCTTTTTGTAAACCGATTTCACCGATATTTTCTAAATAATATGTTTTATTTTATGGATATTTTTCTGTAATATTTAAACTCCTAAAATGATTTATTTGAATTTTATACTAAAGAAATTTATTAAATTAATAATATAATATGAAAATATTATTTTATTAAAAATATTCTAACTCACTAATTATAAACTTTATTAAAACCTTTTCTCCTCTCTAATTCAGCTGACAAAGAATGCTTTAGAGTATTTAGAGAAAAAAATGAGGAGAGATGAAAAGAAAAGTTAAGATTTAGAGGCCATGGAGCGATTTTCGTTAGTCGGGCTAGTTGGGATATTTATTTGTCTCATTGTAAGGAACCTTTAGCCTATTTGTAATTTCAAAGATTTTAAATTTTTGTCATTTTTTTTATCAAATTTGTGTTTCTGTTACCGAAAAACGTGAATACATTTGTATTGGCAAAACTTTCACCGCATAACTTTTTATATGTTATAGAGATTGTGATTATGAGCATTTTGAATATTTATTTGAGATTTTTCACTGGGTGAGAGATTTTTGTTTATCCAAAAATTTATTTTGACGTCTAAAAATAGTAGTATATCATAATAAAAAGTCTTTAAACATCGTTTTATACAATTCATGGTATTTTGGTAATTTCTGAAAATGTATATTTTTTGTCTAATAAGATTTTTTGTTGTCTACCATTATGATCTTTTGACATTTTTTTTAATTAAGCTCAATTATGTATTATTTACTGCAATGCATTGAAAATGAATGTGGATATGTGATTGAGATTATTGTTATAGTACTGTAATAATAATGTATATGTAAAAGACAAATAAATACTAGTAGACCTGTTCGTTGGAGATTGATTGACCTGTACGGGATGGTGGGTCGACGAGCTTTCCTTTAAATACTGTGGTTTGGTGTTATCCTCTACTGATTTACGTGATACTGATTAGTAGTTATAAGAAGATGAACTTGTGCTGATGAGCAAGGATAGATAACTCATTTACGGAGTCAACGGTTTACTGATACTAATACAATACTGAAAAACATCGTGATAGCTAGAATTTCTTACTTGTTTAATGTGACTACTAAAATGAATATTTTTGAAACATTGTTCTTATTATTGTACGAATTTATTGTTATTGCACGGATTTACTGTTATTGCATTATTCTACTACTCTTGCAGTAAAGATATTGATACTATTTATAGCTACTAATTCACTATATTGATATTAAACTTTTTTTTTTAATACTGATATTAGACATATGACATAATGAGCACGTGATATAGAATAACTGGATAACATGTGTTTATTTCGATATTATTTTATTGCATTGATTCAATTTCAACTGTTTTTATTGAAGTTTTGGTTTGATGCTTTATATGATTTCTTTACTAGTTCATATTACGAATACGATGATTGCTTTATAAATTTGACACTCGTACTGGTTTACTACTTTATAGGCTTATGTATTGTAGTATTTACTGTTTATTGATTCCACTACTACTACATATAAATTTTATTGTTTATGTATTGATTCAATGATCATATGAATGTAACAGTTATGATTTGATTATTGACATGCATATTACTACTTTGTCGTGCTTTGAATTCAGTTATAGTTTTTGGTGACCTGTTAGGCTTTTTAAATTCATTACATGTGGTTAAATGATTTTAGGTTAAGGTAAGGGAGCATAAATGAGGTTGGTCAGGATTCTTCATGTTCTTTTTTTTTCTCTTTTGTACTAAGGATAGAATGATATGATTGTATAAATCCTGAGTAGTGTATATAATTTTTAGAAATGAATAATATATATGTGTATATTGATGTTTTAAATTATAAAATATATTTTGTTGTTTATAACTGGTAGATGATATTAGATTGTTTTGATTGTTTTTTATTAAAAAATAAGAATAATTCTTTCAATTTAGATTATGGGGCATCACACATACCCTCTCCCTCCTAGCATCATTCTCCCTCTTCATTATAACCATGCACCAATCTACAACATAACATGGTCAAACATCTTCTCACATCATTGTTATGTACACCATAAGCTTGCATGCAACCTGATACGATTAGACCGATCTAGGAGGGACCGATCCAACCGGCCCAAACCGTGGGCCAGCTCCTGCAGTATAGCAAACGCAAGCCTAATTCGCAGGCTACTGATTCTGCCCCCCTTGGGGTGGGGTCCGTTGTCTAGGGTTAATTACTTGAGAGCTGTTTAATCATTTGGTGTTAATTCTATGTTTGATTTTTTTTTTTTTTTTGCTTTAAGTAGGAGTTTGTATTATGGTTAGGGCATCTTTTTAATGGCTAATTTCTGAGTTCTCATTGGTGTCTAGGGCTCTAGCGGCATCTAGAGAGATTTGGAGAGATTGATCCTCCTCTCGAATAGAGGATCATTTGTATCTCTATTTCTTTTCATCTCCTAGCAATCAATAGTGTTTTTATTGTGTTTTCATCCATAAAAACCTAAAAATATGGTTGGTTAATCCGTTGAAATTCTGATTTCAACAATTATTTCTTTTTTTCCGATTGTTTCCTATCACAACCATATTCATTGTGTCATCACAACCCTCATCTTTAGCACAATAACCCTGCCAAATCTTGAATCTAACAACATCACACAATCAACCTCTCCATTGCTGGCATCTTGTTATGTCAAATCCCCCTTGCTTAGCTACACCAAACTCAAATCACTACTCTATTTTTGACACCACAATCAAGTTTAATGACACCAATTTTCCCAAACGGTTAAGAGTATTTCACTTTCTTGTTCGTTCTCATGATAAATTCACTATCTTGATGCCTTTTCAACAGATAGTGATGGCACCATCAAGTTTTCCGAATGGCAATTGTCCAACTACCTCATTCTTACATGATTTCTTAATAATCTTGAACATTCAATTGCCTCCATTGTCATAGTTCAAGACTCTGCAAAGAAGATATGTCATTTTATGCATTCTAACTACTTTTAGGAAAATACTCTCTCTCATGCTTATGCTCTTTGCTCTGAGATTTCTCTCCAATAAAATGATACGCAAATTTAGTAGTAGCATAGCATGTTAAGAGAAAAATGGGATGAGTTACTTCAATACCACCACTTCCCTACTAACCAACTATTTTGCAAAAGTGAAAAAGATGAATTTCGCATCACCTATGCTCAATTTGCAACCTCCACTGCAAGGTGTGCAATATCATATATTGATAAACACCATAATTTTTAACATTGCCTCTATTCCCTCTCAGAATCTTTGCATCACTGAGCTCTCCACTCCTCATACTTCAACTCTTAATCTATCAGCCTTGGCTGCTATCGATAGGGGTGGTAGAGGCAAGGATTTGGTGGATGAGGTTTCTCCCTGCCCTCATTAGAGTTGTAACAATTCTCCTAAATATTGTTAGGAGAATTCTAAACCCACTATTACTCAGCATGCTTCCATAACTTGTCCAACTCTGCCTGCACCTTCAAGTGCTTCTTCCTCCATATAAGATACTATTTTTAAGGAAGACTATAACCAATTGCTTTAATAATCTAAAATATCTCACTCACCCTTTAATGAAGTATCTTTCTGTAGATCCACTGCTGCTTTCTTTACTAGAATGCACTGAGTTTTAAATTCAGGTGCCTTTTCTGATATGGCAATTAGTCGATAACAAGTTTCATCTCTATCACTTGTTATTGTAGTGATGGTTCCCCCTCTCCCATTCCTGGAAAGGGCATTTCACATCCTTCTAAATCTCCATCTCCTTCAAATATTTAATAAATCCCACAATTTTCTATGAACTTATTGTCTAATCATTATATTACAAAGACACATAATTGTTTCATGACTTTCTTTACTAAAGCTAGCAAAGTCAACTCTTGATGACTAATACTCCCATCAAACTTCAAGATCATATTTTTTTTCTCCTTTTCTCTCTCCAACTTTAATAATTTTGTCAGTGAGTGGGTCCATCACCATCGTGTGTCATTTCCTTCTTTACCATTAATTTTCAATATCATCCTCAAGAGTTAGTCCACTAAAACATTGGGGATCCTACTCCTATTCTTACTCACGTATACTTAAAATATTTTGCTAAATTCATTGATGATTACATTAAAGCAGTATAGAATCTTCTTTGGAAACAAGCTGAATGATAAGATGTCTTCTATACTCGTTCAACATATATGGGATTTGGTGGTCCCCCTTCCATGGAACTAATTGTTTGATGATGGATATTCATTGTCAATTCATCTTGATGATTTAATTGATTTATAGAAAGTTCAATTGATTATCAAAGAACTCATAAAAGACAATTTTATATAGCATTTTGACAATTTCTTCCAAGTTGTCAAACTTAACACCATCAAGATTCTCCTATTTATGGCCATCAATCAAAGGTATACAATGTTATAATTGGATGTAAGTAACACCTTCCTCTAGGACGACCATAATAAGACAATTTATACAAAGCAACCATTAAGTATATTTCTCAAGACGAGAATCACATATGTTTGCTCAAAAGTTAATCTATGGATTTTAAAAGAACTTTTACACCTGGTCTTGTCGAAATTGGTCATCATAAGCATATTGCAAATTATTCCATCTTCATCAAGCATGCATCGTGAGGCTCTGTCATACCGGTTGTTATGCTGATGACATCTTACTAGGAATGATTAAAAGGACATCTCCGAGGTAAAGCATTGTCTTCAAAAGTATATTGTTATTAAAGATTTAAGATGGTCAAAATACTTTCTTGAAGTGAAATTTTACCACAACAAAAAGGGTATATCTTTTTCAAAGAAAATATGTATTGATCTAACAGGAACTAATTGATTGTTTTTATAAACACCATCTCATCGCAAAGACTCCAACTTTATAAACACCTTTTATTTGAACTTTCACACATAATGGAGGATAAATGTAATAGTCACAGGAAAAGCAACGTCCGGCAAAGGTACACTTAACGTGTCAATCCCAACACAGCCGACTACTTTACTTTTTCTCTCGATCAACAGAACACAAATAAGCTAACAACAACAACTAAAACATCAAAGAAAGGAAGCGTTCGAACCTTTTCAGTGAAAAAGGTTGAAAGTTGGACTAACCGATTTTAAATTTTTGTTGAGATTCTGAAGGTCATCAGCAATTACTTCAAGTAAATCAGACACCGAAATGATACTCTTAGTATCACCGGAAACCAGTAAACCGCCAACAGGTCCCGAGCTCCCAATGGCAACTGCAAAAACGCACATAAAATCAACCCAAGAACTTAAAATCTCACTCTCCCGCGAAAACTAATAAAGTTCCGAAGCAAAATACCATTTTGTGCCGCTGACGCTTTACATCGAACACTTTCCGCGCGCCGATAAAGCAACCCGCCCTCCGGCCTCTGGCAACTCCTCCTCAGAAAACCAACCGCATCAAACCTCCTTTTGCTGAGATCCAAACCGGGGAAAGTCAATGAACACATCCTCCCAAAACGCAATCGAAAGAGCAAACAATTGCTTAGTTCCCGAAAGGCCACGCCTAGTTCAGAAACATCACAATGGAGCAGAAACCAGCAAGTTCATAGCTTTGATGATAAACTCGTCAGAGTTAAGGCGGCGTCGGCGGTTAGCTGTCGTTGGCCTGCGGTCGGCGGCTTGTTATAGCAAAATGGAGCTGGGCCAGATGACGGGGGGCTGAAGTTTGGAGGTTTAAATACTCGGAGGGTGGAAAAAAGCGTGTGAGTTGGATCCATGAGCGCCACACAGAAGCCTGCTTGCTGGGTCAGCCTTATCAGTTGGGTGGCGAACCTCGAGCTCCACGAAGTTTACAGTAGCGACCGAGAGGCGAAGAGTACTGAAGGGTGAGAAATGCTTCTCCACGTAGGTCATGGAGCCTAAAAGTTTAAAGTGACTATGTAACATTATAAAATTAAATAGAACCTTTTGATTTCTATGAGAGCGTTCCGCAGGCAAGATCGTGCGGGTGTTAAGAACTATGATTTTTAGTCATACATTGAAATTAATATAATTATACAACAGAAAAGTTGGATTCAAGTTTAAAGTTTCATTTGGGTAGAAATTATTTTTGCGGAGATCGGATACATTTTTATCGGCAGTCATGTCAGTGGTATCGAGTCGTGGTACCGAGCAGTAACGAACTGTGGTACATAGCGAATGGGTGATTTGGCGCATTCTGGTTAGTCTTTGAACGACGTTCGGCATCCGCACAGAATAATTAATACTTACATAACATTATTATTGCTTTCCAAAGTAACTTTTTTTATACAAAAAAAAAAATTAATTTGAAAAATTTTTGTGCAAATAAATTGTTTTAAATAATAATAATAAAAAACGGTCTCAAATAAAATATAAGCAAACCCAATTCAATCCAAGATAGCATGGTCTCAACTCGAGAGATATTCATCAAGTCAACCAATGAATTCTTCCCAACTATTCAAGTACAGCTTATCAAGTCAGCATTAGCAATGAAATCAGCCAAGATAAATATTACAAAATAATATAAAAGATAATTTTCTTACAAGTTCATTGATAATATATAGTGAGAAGGATTTTACGGAGAATTTTAATTAATCAATCATTTATTTATTTATTTCTGATATATCATCAAAGAATTATATTGATCATGCACGATTCTTGAGGCAAAATCAAGTTGAAAACTTCCAAAATTAAATATGGGACCATCCAAACTCGGATTTCAACAAACTTACATTCGAACTAAACGTCTCAAAAATACAAACCTAACGACACCAAATTAAACTCAAACTGAGCCAAAATGAGTCCAAATCAAAGACCCAAAGTGTATTTGGAGAGTTTAAACCATAATTTAGATAATCAAACGCTTTTCAATGTGACATGCTTATTGGCAAATCGAGCTGCTTGATGAGATGAATCCAAAGAGCCCAAGATCTTAAAATTCTGATATCATTAAGATATTCAAATGCCCAGCAAACGAACCATGATCAAGGGGATCAATATCAGCCGTCCATTCAAACCACTCCCAAAGTACCCTTGATCTTCATCTTATTTACTTGTCATGACACTCTCAAAGAACTATAAATAGATCCCTCATTCATCATGGAAGGGGGGCTAAAGAAGGAGGGAAAGAAGAGAGGTAAGGACGAGAAATAAGAATGCCACCGAGCTCCTCCTCGGCCACCGCCCGACCACTGACCTTCGTCGGACTTTCGCCCGACAACCGATTGATGTCGAACTTACACATGCTGTCAACTGATGCCAGACTTCTAACCGATCACCGACTGATTCAAGACTTCCTCTCGGCTGCCAATTAACGTCAAATTTCTATATGTCCATCAACTAAAGCCGGACTTATTCCCGTCTACTAACCAACGCTGGACTACTACACGACCATCGACTACGGTCCTCTGACCTCTATCTTCAAACGACTACGGTCCTTACAACCTCCATTGCTAGACAACGTTCTTTCTAACCACTGTCGTTTGCCGATTACGGTTCTTCTAAACTTTGTTTTCATATTATATTTCTTCCGACCTCCATCATAAGACAATAATCTTTCTGACCTTTGTCACCTACGATCCTTCCGTCCTCCATCGCCAGACAACGGTCCTTCCGACCTCTATCGCCGTACTATGATCTTTCCGACCTCCATAGCTTGTCGACTACGATCCTTCCGACTTTCGTCGCCAGATAATGGTCCTTCCGACTTCTGTAGCCCACTGACTACAGTTCTTTCGACCACCGTCACCCGAATACGATTTTTTTGACCTATGTCGCCCGCCAACTACGGTCATGCCGACCAATGAACATATAGATACCGATTCTTCAATTTTTTACCATATAATGCATTTTATATGATGTAAATTTATTACATCAAGCCAAGGCCTTCCCTCCAATGAAAGGGTCTCATTCGTAATCAACTACAAATATTAGTGGATTCATTCAAATTGGGTTAGGCCCCACATTTTTTCCTTTTCAGGATTTTTCACGTAAAAATGTTGGTGTCTCTTATAAATACTGCACCATCTCTTTTTATCTGATTGTGTGTTGGTTCTTCGTACAAAAATAAGATGTTAAACTTTATATTTCTCTACCTCCGCAATTATTCCATGACACAACAATTTTTATGTTTGTAGTGAAAGGCTTATCTATGGATGGATTACTTGTGTGTGAGTTTTTATATGAAAAGAGGTAAAATGAAAGGGAAATCAGTGGTTAGGAGCAGCATTATCTTGTAGCAAAGTAGCGTACGGTAAGAGCAATCAATGTTCTCCTCACATTTTCATGATGGAACAGAACAAGTTTTTGAAAAAAATAAATAAAATCAGTTAGAATTAGCTAAACCAGGCATGCATGCAGTCGTATATGCTCATCTGATATCTTTGTGGACATATCTTCAGATTTTTCTACATACGATCAGCACAGTTCATAATAATTCATCTATATTTGTAGTTGACAGAATAGCCGTTACGTGCCTTTTTTTGTTTTTGTTTTTTTTGTTTTTGTTAGTTTGCGTTTGCGTTTTGTTTAGCTAATCAAAATCATGAAAGCAACTTGCCACAGATTTTTTATGTGAGTGTGTAAACAAGTACAATATGGATGAGCTAAGATCTTATTCAATTCTATCCACTAGTTTTCCTTTCATTTTACCTTTCTCTTGATAATCACAGATAAGTGATCCATCCATATATATACAAGCAAAGACTTACATGGGGTCCTGATTGGGTACCCACTTTCGAGATGTCGTACCCACCCATACCCACTCACTTTCCACACTTTTTAAATGCAGTCTGCCACGGATTGATGACCTTGAGGCTTGTTGCCCTTTGCTCTGACTGCAAACTTGCAAGCCGCGTATCAGATTTAATAGTGATAGTAGCGCGGTTTAGTGATGTGCACTGCATAGTGAGGATTGAGGTAATATAAGGCATATATTGATTAACAACGTAAATCGGTTTATCCCCTGATATTGAGTATCCGCCCATACCCTCCCATGAGGCCTTGGGGTATACCCGTGGGTACGTGGATGAGTGTGGATATAGATATTCAATATAGGGCTTTGCATACAATCTCTCTCTCTCTCTCTCTCTCTCTCTCTCTCTCTCTCATTAGTGCAAAGGCCTAAGTGGTCAAATGTGTCTACTTCAATGCAATGATCTCAACACTTAGAGCCTCCAACAAGGGACCATTCTCTTCATTATGGAGTTAGAAGAGGAAGATGAGGGTGAAGTTGGGGAATTATTATGCTAGGATGACTTCATCTTGCTCATTGCATTTTACGTTAATCTACCATAAGTTAGTAATCGAGAAAGAAGACATACTTGTTCGAGATTATGTCATGAAAATAATTTGGGAGATTTACATATATATTATATTCTTTACATGCCTACAAAGGTGGAACTGCCTACTGATTGCTGGTAGGTTCATCGAGAGATTAATTGCTCTATCAAAGGTTAAAAGAAATTTAAAAAAATTATTTATGCATGTGAGGGTACCTGCCTTTAGGTGCTTGAAACTGACAAGTGATTAAAAAATAAAAAAAATTTGTACGTTCGCCATGTGGGTATTAATTTCATGGTTGAATTGCTATGGCCAAAGCCCATAGGAGAGAACAAATAGCGAAGTGCACGTGAATGGCATGGCTTTGCGTGCTCGCATGAAGGAGCAATAATTTAACCCTTTTTTCAATCTGATCCCATAAGCTATTTTTTTCGATTTATAGTAGAATCATAAATCAAAATTCATTTTCTGGTTTTGAATAGTACGATAGTAATATTAGGGTCACACTGTTTACAGTATAGAGAAAATGTAAAATGACTTATTTTTTACATTCGGGTGAGATCATCTCCAACCGAACGCCAAACGAGCGTTTGGCGTCGTTCCGTCGCTCCAGCCGAACGCCAAAACGTCTGCCATTTGCTTGCAGGTGAACAGTGCAACGCCAATATTGGCGTTGCACTGTTCACCCACGCTATTTTCCTCTCAAAACCGGAAAAACGCGCGAAAAGAGAAGGATCGTTACCTTCGTGCATAAGCAAAAAAATGGCGTTCGATTGGAGCAGCACCACGCCATTTTTGCGTTTTACGGTATTTTGGCGTGAAAAATGGAGTTCTCTGTTGGAGATGCCCTGAAGACTTACGCCAACTGTAAACAAGCGATAAAGCGATAGACGAATAACATTTAGTTTGATTGGCCATACTATATTTTATTTGAAGGATTTTTTTTGGATATATGAGTCATTAGGATAAATTCAGAGACATCACATGCATATACATGAGTCATTAAGATAAATTCAGACACATCACATATACAAGCTTCGAACTTAAGATCTCTCAGTTAGTATTCATAGATCTTAACCAACAAATCTAGATGAGAATAGAAAGAGAGAAAAATAAAAAATATAAATTAAAATAACAATTGATTAGGAAAATTTATATATTTTTGAAAATATTTTTTTCTTATTTAATTAATGAAAAATTATGTGTTTATTTTATGTACTTGTGATATATGAATTATAATGATTATTAATTAAAATTTTCTTCATTTTTTGTTTAGATTTTATAGGAAATTATTATTGAAAAAATTGAGTGTTAATATTTTTTAGAAAAAAATAATTATATATAATTTTTGTTAAAATAAAACATTAAATGTGAAATTGAAGCAAAATAAATTTATATATCTCTTAGTTCTTTCCAAAATCTAC